ATATTAGATGTCTTTTTGTACCTTTTTTGGAAAAATCCTTTAATTAATCCGTGATGGGTTTTCCTTTTATAAGAACATGTGTTTGCAAGACAAAAATGGTGGTCTCCAGGAGGTCCTGTCTCATTTGATGTTCACATTTACACAATGAAAACAGACTTTGTCATCAATTTTAGTATGAATTTTTGGTCACTATTATTCCTAAGCATCCTTTCTAGAGTAATTTCCTATTCGACTAGCACAGGACTGTTTCTGTTGGACAGAAAGGTAACAAAATGGAGTACAGCAGTTCTGACAAGTGATACTACTTACTCCCTTGACAGTTAAAAGCATTTTTTGGTTTTAAGAAACAAATTGGAACTGACTTAATAAACAAAAGAGGATATTAATTAGTAGGCTGTGGGAGAAACTCTGAGACTCAGCTCCAAGGGCTTCGGGGCCTGTGTTTGCTGTGTGTCTCCCTTAAGGTGACTTAACTTTCTGGCTCTGCATCTCTCTGTTGCCATGGTGAACTTGGGCCCATCACCAATTGGCCCAGCTTACGTGGGGTGATTATTCTGGGAACTGCCCTTGTTGCTGGGGAGTCATGCTCTTGTAGAAAGACAGCAGGCCCATTCAGACCACATGGCAAATGTTGGAGTAAAGAGCCCTTCTCCAAAAAAGGGAAGATGCTGTTTCCAGAAGGATAGGGAAGGAGCCGGCCATTGCGACTCCCGAAATATTTGTCAAATTTGATGAGTTAAGTAAATGCTATATAAAACTTGAGCTTATCTTCATACTCGAGAGTCAGCATAGAAAAGTTGAAGGAACTCTGGGGCTGAAACTTAGAAGCCAAGGTTTGAATCCCAGCTCTACCATCTACTTATCATGCAGCTCTGGTCATATTATTTAACCTCTAAGTCTAAAGTAGGATGCTGATACCCACCTCACCTCCCATAGCATTATTATGTGAAATAATGTGTGTGCCGACACTGATCTGAGCATAGCCAATAAATGTTGTTTCCCTTAATATTTGGAAATTTGGCATTTCCATAAAGGACTCTAATCTTTGGTGAATGCTTTCTAATCTAAGTGCCATAATTCAAGTCTACATTAAGTCAGGTTAGTAGAGATCTAATTCCCCACTATATGTACCTACCTAAAAGGCATCACTGACCTATGCTTCATAGTATTGCCTTTAAAGTAAACTGCTTGAATGGAGAGCATTCCAAAGAAGCAGTCAGTAAGCTAGATGCTTACCTGTTGAGAGCCTGTTACTTCAAGGTACAGGGGCAACAGAGATGGTTGGATGGTTGGCTGTGATGTCCACTCTTAAATGTCTGGCTATAGTCGTGTGGTTGTGTACACCAAAAACTATGTCATAGGGAAGGTGGAACAATAGGAGCTATAATAGGGCTGAGAGGGCAAATGTTAGGAGGCATCAGAGAAGGGAGTAGAGTGTATCTGGTTATACCAGCTATCTGGCTGCAACTCCATAGATGCTATTCACAGATTTTAAAAGATCCATGGTGGATCATTTGTCCTGATTTCCATTTAGAAGATTTGGTCTCCCCAAGAAAACCATGCACTGGTTTCGTGTTGTAAAAATAACTAAAATGAGCTTACATTATGCTGAATGTGGTTTGGGAAGGAACCTCCGTGACCGTGACAGCCCTGCACAAGTGCTGGAGAAGAGATTTTTTTCATTTAATTCAGGAGTTAGAGTGTGCTGCATAAAATGTAGTCACATTAGGGAATTCATAGAGTTACCTGTATGAGCTTTTACTTCCTCTAAAACTGTACCCATCTCATAGAGACATTGCAAGACTTGAATCAGATAATGGAAGTAAATGCCTAAACACAGGTGTGTCAGTATATCTACTTTTATGTCACTGTTTCCCGGATACCTTTAACTGGAGGAAAGGATTAGAGAGGGAGGGAATTTGGCTTCCCATGCCCCTAGGGGTGGCTGACTATGCTCAGAAAAATGTTTTTAAGGTCTTCCTGTTGAGCCAGAAAATAATCTTTCTTATCTGAGAAAATGTGAGCAGGGACAGCACTGAAAGTTTCTTAGGGTTGCCGTAACAAAGTGCCACAAACCAGCTGACTGAAAAGAACAGAAATTTATTCTTAGTTGCGGAAGCCAGAAGCTCAAAATCAAATCATCAGCAGGGCCATGCTACCTCTGAAACCCATCCTGCCTCTTCCCAGCTCCTGGTGGTTTGCTGACAGTCTTTGGTGTTCCTTGACTTAAAGGTGCATCACTCCAATCCTCCATCGTTACAGGGTCCTCTCCCTGTCTGCAAGTCTCTCTCTCTGTCCAAATTTCCCCTTTTATAAGGACACTAGTCATATTGAATGAGGGCCCACCCTATTAACCTCATTTTAACTTGCTTGTCTCTATAAAGATCCTGTTTCTAAATAAGGTCACAGTCTCAGCTACTGTGGGTTAGGACTTCAACAGATCTGTTTTGCCAGACACAATTCAACCCATAAGACCATCTCATCTATTGTAGTAGAACTTTCATCATACCATTTTCCAGCGTGACCCATAAATGGGCATTTTCTCCCCTGCATTCTGCTTGAAAAAGAAATAGACCACTAAAAAAACCCAAATGCCTGTGTGGAGGTTTGGTAATAGCAGAAAAACTTGGAGCTGTACTTTGGGTTTGTACCCCGCGGTCCCCTCTTCATCACTTTCATCTCCACCTATGGGGGGAATTGAAGTCAGACTGAAAAGTCTGTAAAATAAGCTCTAATTCTATCCCTAGGCCTTAAGAACTTAAGGAAGAAAGATTTGGGTAGAAAGATTTTCAATCTAACAAGATTTTTAAAAATTGTTTATTTTTATTTTATGCAAAGCATACCACATTAGAAAATATTACATATTAGGTTTTACTGATTTTTTTACAAATTTAAATAATTTATTTAAATTAGTTTCAAGTATACAGTACATTGGTTAGACATCTATATTGTTCATAAAACGATTCCCTCAATTGCTCCCTCCCTCCCTGGCCCTCCACTAGCCATCACATTAATGCTAACTGCATTCCTCATGCCGTGCTCCCCATCCTTGTGCCCAGCTATCAGCTACTAATTTGTGCTTCTCCCAGCTCCCCAAGCCCCCTCCCCTCTGTCACCAAATCGTCCACTGTATTTGTCTGTTTTTGATTAGTTTATTCTTTTTGTTCCTTAGATTCCACATATAAGTGAAATCATATGGTATTTATCTTTCTCTGTCTGACCTGTTTCACTCAGTATAATGTAGGTTTTACTGATTTTTAAAGTTGAAAAAGAAATGGAGAATGAGTTTGACAATAGCTGGTCCTTTCTGATCTTTTGAGGATCCACTTATTTTTTTTTTGTCCTGAAGCTCTTTGATGGAGGAAGGCACTTGGAAGAGAGAAAGGACATGAGGTCCAGAAGTATCTTCTAGTTCTCTGGGCAAAACACACATTTCCAGAGCTTTACACAGTTCCAGAAATGGGTGCCGGCATTCATAATGATGAGGTCTTTGGAGTTGTTTGAAATGTTAAATTTCATGAAGTCACAGGTGTACTGTTCAAATCTATTAGATTTTGGCTTTTGTTACCGTTAATGAGAGTATAAGCTACTGAGAAAGCGTTGCATATATTTTTCGTTGGAGGCACATTAGGGATGTCACCTGAGCCCACCACAGGATCTTAGCTTCTGGGTGAGGCCAGTAAGCCCGTTTTAATTTCAGTATCTATTCTAGCCAGTGTGTTGGTTTTCTCATAAAGCTATGAAACTTCATTTTGAGGCATTTGGGGAGTTAGCTACTCAAACCTACAATTCTGATTTCTGTGTATCTTGACTCCTTACATTCTGCATATTTGGGCATCTACTAACAAATTCCAGGTACATGCTATAGAAGTTTTAGGTGTGTTTTAGATAAGCAGGCAGGCTCGCCCAAAAAAACTTGTCTGTGTTTCTCTTTTTTCTGTCAGTAGCCACATTTCTCTCTCATTTTTGACACCTTCTATTCTGTCAGTAAAAGAATTAATCCCCTCTACCCCATTCTTTGACACCCTCTATCAAGTTTTATTATGAGCATATTCTTCCATTACCAGTAGAATGATACAGAATCTGGAAGTATTAATTTCAGCCTCTGGCTGTGTCTTTCACTCACCTGAATGCTCTGTATTCTGTCTGCAGATATCTTCAGAGGCTAATATGTGTAGGAAAAAAATTCCTTCTCTGTGGAGAAGTGAATAGACTGTATCAACCAAGATCAAAATCGTTCGTATAGTTGGAGACTTGAATTCTCACAATACCCAGATTTGTAAGAGTCAAATAACTGACATGGTAGCCTGGAAATATATTTATTGCAAAATAATACTATTTCTACTGTAGTTCTAATTTAAAAACAAACAACCATAAAAACTTGAACCCTGGTAAGGATAACAAATACCTAGCAGGTAAAAGTTCAGAGAGTTATACCCAACTGAACACCTGCAACTTGGAGGTTAATTCAAGTGTTAGGCTTGATGTGTTCACCTCAGCTTTATTTTTCTTGAATAAAATATGAAGCATTGAAAAGTTTAGGATTAAGTGAATATATTATCTCATAGAATATATTATCTCATAGAATATTATTTTTCTTTCTTTTTCAAGTTTTATCAGAGAGTAGCAGAGACATGCCTGGCTTCAGCCCATTGATAATTCATTTTCTGATTACTTCACTAAATGAGTTTGCTCCCTGATAAGACAGTGCTCTTTACTCAGAGCAATTTTAAGTGATTTAAAAATCTGCATTGTCTAATCCTTTGTTACCCTTTCAGCTTGAAGTTTTTCAAGCCTGGCCAAGAAGCTGTGAAGTACCAAGGTCCTCGGGACTTCCAGTCACTGGAAAACTGGATGTTGCAGATGCTGAATGAGGAGCCTGCCGTGAGTACACAGAAAGCCCTCCCTGTCTTTCCTCCTACATTTTGGGTAATAAAGAGGCCAGGTTAGGTGAAAAAGTAAGGCTCCCATTTTGAGGCTACTTTGTACTTTTTTAGAACTCATTGATGATATAAGTAAATATTAACATTTTTTTCTTCTCAATTGTTTTTTATTGTGGTAAGATACACATTAAATTTACCATCTTCACCATTGTTCAGTGTACTGTTTAGTGGCATTAAGCACATTCACATTGTTGTGCACCCACCACCACCTTCCATCCACAGGACTCTTTTCATCTCTAAAACTGAAACTCTGTCCCCATTGAGCAGTAACTCCCCACTTCCCCTCCCCCAGCTCCTGGCAGCAACACTTGTACTTTCTGTCTCTATGATTTCAACTACTTTGAGTACTTAGGTAAGTGGAAAAGATTAACTTTTTAAAAACTTTTTATTATGGAAATACTCAAACATGCATACAAGTAGAAGAGTCTTAATGATGTATGAGTGGTAAGAAGGAGTATAATGAAGATGGTCCCATGTACCCAGCCCTCAGCTTCATCAATTATCCCCATTTGCCAGTCTTGTTCTGTCTTAACTGCCTCCATATCCCTTGTTTATCTGCAAAGTCAGTCCTTATGGAGTGTCATTTGTAAATATTTGAGTATGCATCTCACAGATAAGCACTTAGTACCTTTTAACATAACCTCTATGCCACTCTCACATGTAGTTCAATTGACAATAATTCCTTAACATCAGAAATTGACTCTTGGCCAACCGGGGTCTAAGCCAGGATACCCAGTCCGGGCCAGCCTTGGCTCTTCCTTCCCACCTCCCACAGCTACCATCTCACTCTTACTGCCACTCACTATACCCATGGTGTGATTCTTTCATTTTCTTCTCAGCCCTTGGTCCCGAAGACCCTCACTAGCTTTGCTGATAACATAATTTAATACCCTTAAAACTTTGTCTTAATGTTCCACCCTACACTAAGGATTATAGCAGGAAATTATAGAAACTATGACTTCTGAGATATTTTTTAGAGACATAGCTGTGTGTAGGATGTTACTTATTAAGGAAAATTTATAATTCTTTCCCTCTCCATTTGTCGTTGGGAGTATTAACTTTGTTATAAATCATTACTCTTGTAAACTATTCCTTAAGTGATCCTTCGTGCTTTCAGATTAATGCTGAATGCTCAGTACCAGAGAGGCTCAGTTGGACTTGAATGGTCTGAGGTGTTGTATTAGTGAGAGATGGGAAAGATGACCAGTGTTCCCATGCTGTGTGTTTCTGATGAAATATTAAGAGTATCTGAAGTCTGAATGTAATTTCAATTTAAAAACTTAACCAGGACTATTTTAGTGTATCAGGTAGGTGTTTACAGATTTGAAGGTTGTTTGTGTTCATGTGCAATTCTAGCAGTGTTTTCAGGGCGCCGCTGCTTTTGGTGTCATTTTGCAGGGTGTCCGTGTGGTCCGTCAACTCTCTCCCGAAATGTCACAGCTGATCAGAAACCCAGCTGCTTCCTAAGGGCTAACTATACCTCACATTTTAAAGTCTATAAGTGTATGTCAAGAACGTTGGAATATGGTGTTGAATAAGCATTGACCAGAGACTATAATCTAATTTTAGGTATGTGGGGAAAACCACAAACCTCAGAGAATTTATTTGTATCTCTTTCATAGCCTAAAAGCTAGATATGCAGGTGTAACTTTCACATAGATTTAAATTTCAAATTGTTTCCTTTGTGAAAATGTTCTCTGATGGGAGGAAGCTAATTTTAAAGAGCAGTTAATAGTCTCAAAAAAAAAATTTTTTTAAATAAACTTTTCACCAAAAAAGCCAATTTTCTAAGAAACCAGCAGTCAGTATCAAGATGGCAGAGACACTTCATCTTGTGGGCCAACTTCCCTTTAGGGTAAGGGTCACCAACTCCTGGGCTTCAAACTGGTACCTGTCAGTGGCTTGTTAGGAACCGGGCTGCATAGCAGGAGGTTGGACACTGGCAAGACAGCAAAGCTTCATCCGTATTTGCAGCTGCTCTCCAGTACTAGCATCATTGCCTCAGCTCCACCTCAAATCATTAGGCATTAGATTCTCATGGGAGTACTGGTCCCTGGTGCCAAAAGGTTGGGGACTACTGCTTTAGGGGAAACATGGCCCAAAGTGCAGACTGTGAGGCCAGGCCAAGGCTCAGCATAGACGTCCTGAGGGGCAGTGTCCTGTCTTCTTTGTGTGGGAGGGGCATGGCCATGGAATCCACCCATGACCACTCTCGAACCAGTTTACCCACAGGCCATATCCTAGAGTCTCAGAGCAGTAGGGATCTCAGATAATTGCTAAAAACAATGACAATGTGCCTTACTGTAGAAAAGTTCAAATATTCAAACTTTATACTGTGAAGTGAAAATCCTTTTCAGTTTGAACTTTGCTGTTTATTGTAAGCAAAAGCTTTTTAAAAAGTTCTTCATCTGTGTTTATACCTAAATAACTTGATATGCACACTTTTATATTTAGACAGGATAAATTTAAATTTTTCTCCCTAGTGTTACAGCCATAGTAAAGAAACTCAAAGAAAGGAAAACCTGCCATTCCTAATATTCCATCCCAATTTTTATATTTCCATGTTTGCTTCTGTATTTTTTTCTTAAACAGTTATAATATAAACAGTTTATTAATGGTTTTTTTATGTAGTTACATTGCCTTTATATTGATCATATATTATGTAGATTTGCCATAATTCAACTCTTCTCTGTCAGTGGATATTTAGTTACTTATAATTTTTTCTGTCATCAGAAATGCTATAGGAAACATTTATCTTTATAAAGGACATTTTTACTACTTTTGAGTGATATTTTTAGAATATATTTCCAGACGTAAAATTACAAGGCAAAAAAAAAAAAAAAGCAAGACCACTTTTATGGCTCTTGATCAATATTGGCCGATTGCTTTCTGAAGAATTTAGAGTGTATTCCATTTCTGTGACATACTGCAGTGTTCCCCTGATGGAGACAGCTTTGGTATCTGCCACAGAGCACAAGAATAAGTGTGCCCCTAAGTGCCATAAATGAACACTTTTAGACTGAGCCCTTTGAACATCTTACACATACACATACAGGGTTTTGTTTCACCTTATTGGAACTCACTGACTGTTCATTTAGCCATAATTCTCATGGGCATCCTTTTAACCCTTTGAAAGTTTTGACAAGCCAGCAACAGAAAGGAAAACTTCATGGTGCTTTAAGGTCCTAGCTCTGTACAGCTTTGAGCTGTCACTACTTTTAAAGCTTTTAATGACTTAACTTGGATATTCTTTTTAATAGAAATATGAACTGCCATGTAACAATTGAATAATACCCATGTATCTGTAGCAAAATGGTAATGTGATCTTTTCTTCACCCCAGCAGTAGTGGCCTCAGAAACTGAGAAATTTATAATTGTGCAGTAACTCCTGTGGTAACCATTTAGTTGTACACACCGATGCTTCTCAGTCACTTCTTGCCCCTTCGTTGTGTATTTCAGTTCCAAACTTAGTCATGAGTTATATTCTTTCGTAAAAGAACAGTTATGTTTGCCCTGTGGTTTTCTCTTTCTCATCTTTTCACTTGTCTGAATTTACTGTCTCATCACCTACTTTTCTCAGTCCTTTAGAGTTTTACCTTCCTTCACTTATTTATTTGTTTGTTTGTTTATTTGCTATTTTTTTGAATAAAGGGTAGCCTTTCCCTCCTATTCTCTGGTGGGTTCTCATTCTCAGTTTTGTCCAGTTTGCTACCTTTGTGTCTTTAGGTACTTCTTCCTTAAAGCCAGTCTATCAAGAATTCCATTTTGTATTCTGTGTGAAATCTCAGGTCACATTTCAAAGAACAGGACAGATTGCTAATTTGGGGTAGACCTATCTTTTAGTTTGTCTGTTCTGTTTGGTTGGGTTTAGGGCAGTAAAGGACTGGTTGAAGTGGGGCTGGCTGTCACCTGCTTTCTACAAGTATCAGTCCTAGAGCATTTGCTGAGGGGGAGGCTGGCAAGGGGCTTCTTACTGAGCGTACAGAAGACCCGACAGAGTTAGTTCCTATCCTGGTCCCCCTCAACACACCAGCACCCCACAAAGTTTCAAGGTAGCAAGGTGAGGGAGGAGATCTGCAGAAGGTTCTAGACAGACACTGGTCACCTCTTTGATGGGTTTCACTATGTCTTCACAGATGAACTCAGTGACTGTTGTTTCGTTTCTTCCTATTAGACACCAGAGCCAGAAGTAGAACCGCCCAGAGCCCCTGAGCTCAAGCAGGGGCTGTATGAGCTCTCAGCAAGCAACTTCGAGCTGCACGTTGCACAAGGTATGACAGGCGAACCTTGGTGTTCACCGTGGGATACACGCCTCTTAGAACCACTGACTATTGTTACTCCTTGATTTGCTGGGCTTGTCCTTTTTGCCACTTGAGGACTCATAGATAGCAGCATCTGTGGCACTTATCAAGGGTTTCTCTCAAGTCCCTTTAACATCATTGTTTAATGCTCCTCCTCTTAGAAGCTTTTCCTCCTTTTGTCTCTGTCTTTATAAAATGCCAGTTTTGATGCTAAGCTAAAGCCTTAGGTGTGGAAATTTGGACCTCACAAATCGTGAATGGGCACACTTGTACATGAGCTATGGATACAGTGCATCCCTGGATAAGGAAGTGTTTATTTATATTAATGTTAATCAGATGTTTATTGACCTGAGGCAGAAACAAAAGTTTCTCTTATCTGTTTAAACTAGAATTTAGTGAGACTGTTACAGCATGTGAATCAGTATACATGTTTTTTACACTTAAAATATTTTCTTAGACCACATCTTATTTTCTGAAAATGGTCTCAAAAATATTAAAAATGATCTATGTACAATTTCTAATGTTAATAATATAAGTCCTCCTTTCTTCACACATTTCAGAAGAGTTGGCTCAGCAGTGAATGACTTGAAAGCAAATTTAGCTTCCTTGCTGACCTCTATTCTCAAATGCTGCCATGGAGAGAAATCCTCCTGTAAGACTGGGTTGGAAATGTTGTGGTAAAGGGCTTAAAAGTGTACCTGGCCTTGTAACTTCATGCCTGCTGAGACATGAAGTTCCATGAAGTTATTTAGACACCCCACTCAGTGTCTAAATAAGTTTCCCCCCACCACACTTAAGGTCTAAAATAATTTTGATGCCTTCAACCGTTTTCTGTTTTCATTAAAGGTTGTTATTTAATTTATACTAGTGCTCTAACTGTGGAACTTCAAGGAGTTTTTTCCCCTGCAGGGGATTCACTTTAATTTGAGACTGGCATGGGCTCACTGCAGGATGTGCTACCAGAATCACCTTGTTGTAGACTTATTTCCCAGAAGCCCAGCCTGGTCACTCCCTAAGCCAGTCATCACTGAAGGGCAGTGTTCTAGAGATGCTGCCTATGTTGCTCGCATGAGGATTTCTCCTCAGAAAGTAGCCTCCTGCCTTTACAACTTCCCTTTGACACTTCTGTGGGTTCCTGGACATCCTGCCTCCACCTCCCCACACAAGGTTAGCAACAGAGCTGTCTGGAGAGACCTGGTTTCAGCTTTGCAGATCAGTTGCTAATTTTTTGAAGCAAGTTTTTAAACATTTCCTTCAATGTATCCTTGCCATGGTGATAAGGTACCTCTGTGAGCATTGGTGTGGCAACATCCTACTCCAGGTCCGAGTCATATTTCAGTGTTCATTAGTTAGTTCTCTCCTTGGCCACAGCCTGATTTTGGTTTGGTCTTGGCCTGACATCTTTTACACCCCAGGCTGGTCAAGGTAAAACAGCCCAGAAGAAAATCTTCGGTGTCCAAATAGTAATGTTTGAAGATTCGGTTTTATTCCTCCTAGCCAAAGTAGTAATATTCAGTTTTTAAACCTTTTATTTTAGTATAAAATAAAACACAGAATACCGAAAACAAATGTAGGGCTTAGTGAATTGTGACAAAGCAGTCACCTTGTAACCATTGTCCAGTTAAAGAAAAAAACTGCCAGCCTCCTAGTACCCCTTCCCAGTCAGTCACAGCCCTTCTGACTTTTATGGAAACCACTCCTTGCTTTTCCTTAAGGTTTCATTACCCAAGTGTGTGTTTCTAAACCCTACAGCTTAGTTTGGTCTTTTTTTGATATATCTCTTTTAAGTCTGTTTTATCTCCATGTACCCCCAACATCTCTTTTTCTTCCTTACATTTTTCTTTGCTACCACATAGGTTGTTTGACCTGTAGAGTTCCCCACGGTGTGGACTTTGTTGATTGTATCCCCACGGCGTAGTTTAACATGTCCCTGAGTTTTCTATTCCCTGTGAACTGGTACATGAATCAAGAGACATTATCAGTTTTTGTTGATGTTTTTTAGGGGTTCTGAAAAGACTTTATAGCTGTTGAAGTCTCTTTGTGATGTCAGCAGCCACAGCAGTCACTGCCTAAATCCGTTAATTCATCCAGATGCCAAATGCTATTCTAATTCAGGCATCCTGACTTCATTTTTTTAGCCAAGAGCAACTTGCCCTCATTTATCACTTGATTAACCACTGGTGCAGTTCGTATAGGAAGGACGGGATAAAAGCCTGATTCTTTCCCTTTATTGCCAGTTTTCCAAATAATGAATTAGTTCCTTGTCCTCCAAAGATGACAAATTAGCTTTTGTTTCGAGGATTGTTACAAACTCATGGATATAGACGTTTTTGATGCAGAGTCACTTTTGACCAGTTAAAGGGTTCCTACTGAACTGAGCTTTGCAAGAAAACAAAGATTAGATGCTAATCTCTAGTTAGGTGTGATGTAAATTACACTCCCTTTTCCCCCTTCTCTGCCTTGGCTCCACATGGAAGGCGACCACTTTATCAAGTTCTTCGCTCCATGGTGTGGTCACTGCAAAGCTCTGGCTCCGACCTGGGAGCAGCTGGCTCTGGGCCTTGAACATTCCGAAACTGTCAAGATTGGCAAGGTAAGTGAAAGCCCTTATTAAACTGGAAGTAGACCGCCTTTGGCTGGATTAATTAGCAGAGTAGCCCATTATTCATTCTGTGCACAAAGTCGCAAACTTGATTTATTATTTCCATTTAGTGTGCCACTTGATAATTCATTTCACCTTCACAGATGGCAGCCTGGTTTCGAGTGTGCTGGCTTTTCCACAGCTTAGAGATAAATTATGGCTTTGGCTCCTTTGTTTGTTTTGAAGCGATGGCCAATTCTGAATTGGCAGCCCCAGAGCCCTTTCTGCAAAGATAGGGAGCAGAGCCTTAGAGAATGTTCACTGGATGTGCTTGGAGACTGTCCACATTTGATCTCACCCAAGAGCTCTTTCCTAAAGAAGCCTCGGCTCTGTGCTCGCAGAGGCATGCAGGGGACCCTCCCTATGGTGAGACTCAGCTTGCACTGCTGCCTGGAATTCTTTCCAGCTTTTCCTACTTTACGTGGAGGAGCCAGAAGCGATATCTAACAAATTCTGTGTAACTGGATTTTCTGGAAATATCCAGAGCAGCTTCTGGGTCATCAAACACTTAATCTCATCTATTCTCCAGCACCCACCAGACATCATTGCCTGGATATCCTTTAATAAAAATCTCATTTTCTACTTTGCCAGGGGCCCAATTATATACAGAAGTAATACTATGTGTCCAGTGACCATAGTTAATAAGATGATCTGTCCAGCATGGTGAAATGGTCAAAAGCAGAGATTTGGGAGTCAAGTAGACCTGGCTGGCCAACCTAAGGCAACTTCTCAGCACCTCAGTCTCAATAAATAAATTAAAGCATTTCAGTAAATGTAATTTAAGCATCCTGTCTTCATGTTTTTAGCAACAGAAACTTGTCCTCGTTTATCACTTGGTTATCCAGTGGCACAGTTCATATAGGAAAGACAGGATAAAAGCCTGATTCTTCCCCTTTACTGCCAGTTTTACAAATAATGAGTTGGTTCCCTGTTGTCCTCCAAAGATGACAAAGTAGCTTTTGTTTGAGGATTGTTATGAACTCATGGTTATAGACGACTTTGATGCAGTCACTTTTGACCAGTTAAAGGGTTCCTGATGAACTACGCTTTGCAAGAGGACAAAGATCAGATGTAATCATAAAATAATCTTGTCTTCTGTCTTCCCCATTCCTTGTATCCTTACTTTAAGTTATGTTTTGAACTTTGATAGGGGATTATTTTATTTTCAATTCATGTCAGTGGAGGCTTCTCGCAGAACCAAGCATGAGCAGACAGAGTCTAAATAACTGGGCTGTGGCCCTTCATCTCTGGACATATAACTGGACCCTAAAAATGCCTTCCCACCCCCAGTTGTAGTTGGAGGCTTCCTGTGCCTCAGGCTAACACTGGAACTGCTCTCTGACTTCAGTCTTATCTATTAAAATAACAGTTCTTCTACTTTGTTGACATAGTGAGAAATAAGCTCTGTACAGCTGATTTTAATGTCAGTAGAAAAGTTAAAAAGAAGTGACTTAGAATAGAATGTTGTATAAAAATGTTAAACAAGCAGAATCTTATAAAAATTTAAATGGAAATAATCCGAAGTGCTGTGGCAGTTGGTAAATTGAGCTTACAGAATTGATACTGTAATCTGATTTTAACATCTTTTCAGTTTTATCTTTATCATATACCAAGTACTCCTATTTAAAATTGACTACTTGCTTCTCCTTGAATTTAAAACTCTAAATTTGAACATGAGAATAAATTTCTAAGCTAGCGTTACAACTGGCGTGGGCGTCCATCACCGACAGCCAGGCTCGCCTCTCCCAGGATGTCAGGCTAGGCTTCCCTTCTCTACCTGTTAACCTGCTCAAGAGAAAATGTTGCTTCCTAAAAATGAGCATTATAAGTAAATGAAAATAAATCGTCTCTAAAGTGAATCTTGCTGTGCTGCTCCCTTGGTTCGGGGGAATTTTGGGGTACCTGTTTTAGGAATAGTCTGCAGAAACTGCAGCTTGCTGGCAAAGATGCTGCAGATCAAGGGTTTTAGAAATTATATTAAAAAAAAAAAAAAAAAACTTCCAGGGTACCCAATAGCTCGTTTTTATCAGGCAGGCTCACTTACTGGAAATGTGAACTTTCTTTGTAGGTTGACTGTACGCAGCACTATGAACTCTGTTCAGGAAATCAGGTCCGTGGCTATCCCACTCTTCTCTGGTTCCGAGATGGTAAAAAGGT